AGAAGACCAGGACAGGAAAAAAAAGTGCATTGAGTTATGAAATGGGACAGGGTCTCTGCGAGAGATCAGGGCCACAGCGCTCTAGAGAGGAGGCCAGGTTGCTGGGCCTTAACAAGGGACTGGGGGGAACAGGAAAGACGATGGTGGGGGTTGCTCACTCCTGTTTAAGGGAGTTGGTAGTGAAGAGAGAGGAGAAGGCTGTCTCTGGACACTCACTTCTGAATCGTGGGCTTACAGAAGGGCAGATGCTGAGCTGAGGTTCCAGACAAGATGTCGGGACATAAAGTGGCTGGCACCCTGGTGGAGGAAGTAGCCCTGGGGGAGGAGGGTGAGTGCAGGTGCTGCTGCTGCCCTGCAGGTAGAGGGAGGTGGGGTCAGAACTAGAGGGGTATCTCCATAAAATAGAACAAGGGTGGCCGTGGGATAGTGGAGGGGGTAGTTTTAGGGGTGTGGGAAAGGTTAAGATTAGCTGCTGTGGAGAGTGGAGGAAGGTTGCAGACGGATAGCCAGCAGCAGCTGTAAATTGTGAATTGCCGACAGTCTGAATCTGCATAGCTGTGCATTTCCCTGAGGGTTTTTAAAGCACGACTCATTCATTTATATGGAAAAGATAAAACTGGAATTTTTCTGAGTGGGGATGACCAAGAAACAAACAAAAGAGGCTTTGAGGTTATTGGCCATATTTGATGTTTGGACAGAAAAGATAAGAACACTTGTAGGAACCGAAAGGGGGACTGGGTAAGAAGGGACAGGAGCTGTGCGGAGGCAGCAGAGCTGGGTGGGGGGTACCCCTGGGGCACTGGGTAGGAGTGCTGGGAAGAGGAGGGGGCGTGAGCACTGGGAATGCCTGCCTTGTGAGATTCAGAGGCGGGGCAGTTAAGGGCAGAGACAGCCCTGCAGGACCTAGGGAGCAGGTAGAGGCACAGTGGAACTGGAGGTTGTTAGAGGTGAGGAACCGGGGTGAGGGTGTCCTGAGGGATCAGCCTTCCTTATTATGTCCAATGAAGGTAGAGCCAGAGGTAGGAAGATGACCAAGCCAGCTGCTGGGGACAGTACAGGAAGAGTCTCCTGGCCCTTCCCTGCTTTCCATGCAACATACTCTTCCTTTGACGACACTCTTAATCCCTTGACCTCGTTCCCTGTGCCAGTCACTGTGTTGAGACAGCACCTGCCACCTGCTAGAGGCTACTCGAAGAGATGGTAGACAAATGCCAGACCCACAAATCAGCTTTTATATCACTAGAATGTAGCAGGGCTTTGGGTGTATTTTTCCCTGTTGCAACTAAGCACCTAGAGTAGTATCTTGCTGTTCATTGTTTATTAAAATAGTGAACACTTTAAAGTTTACATTGACCTTGACTGCTGCTTGGTATACCTGGTCTCAGCCTATTGCTGCATTGCCCAGAAACACTGTTCCAAGTCTCCTTGAAGTCCCAGCTCCACCTTGGGTCCCACCTTGAGCTTGTCATCCCTCTCCCTACTTTACAGAGGTCAGAACCAATTGTCAGACCTTCCTCATTGTCTTCTCTGCTTACAGAATTGCTCAGGCTTCAACCACTTTCTTACGACTTTATTTGGAAGAAGAGATGTTCCTATTCTTCTCCAAGGCTAATACTTTCCCTTTATTAGAAATGTTAGATGCACAATGCAATATACAGATGATGTATCATAGAATTGTATACTTGAATCCTAAAATTTTAACCAACATCACCCCAATACATTTAGTTTAAAAATATATAATGCTAAAAACAAGTATTGGAGACTATACTGGTTTCTGCATCTCCTCTCCTCTGCTTTTCCTTCTGAGGCCTGTCCTCTCTCGGCCAGCGTCACCCACTCCCCACCAGATAGGAGCTGACCCACAAAGCAGGAACAAAAAACAATTTTGTGTGTCTTGGATCTTAAATTGTCACCTTGTGTCTCACTTTTTTTAGTTAAATCTCTCAGAAGTGTCCCTTTCCATTTGCAACTGTTTCCGTTTGTTTCCTTGCCACTTACTCACTGCCCAGCACCTGGAGCTTGGGGCGCCCTCACAAATTCCTGAGCTGTAGTGACTGTTTCTCCTGCATTCAGAGGAGAATGCTCCTCATTCTCTTCATTCTCTTCATTCCTTCATGTATTGATCCAACACCTACTGGAGCATTTTTGGCTCTTATTGTCAGGTGCATTTCAGGTGCTAGAGATCACTGCAATGCATAAAACAGACAAAATTCCTTTCCCTTGTGGCTTTCACGTTCTAGAGGAAGAAACAGATATTACTTAATATGTGTTGTGTAAGCACAGGGCAAACAGCTGGTTTAGAACAAACTTAAAATTTTAATTACATAAATACAAAATGTTATTGTGTTTACTTGGAATAGCAGTGCTCTTTTCTGCTAGTTTTTGTTTTTAAATTTAGATACTATTTTCTGGCTGAGTGGATTTTAATTATTGATAAAAATATCTCTTAAGATTATTAAGGAAAAACTAAGCAACTATGACCTTTTAGAAAACTGAAAAAGAGTGCTCTTTAGTAAACTTAAGATACAGGAATTTTGGAAAAGCAAAGAAACTAAAAATTGAGGGGAAAGAGAAACCAGTGATTTTTTATTGTATGTATAAAAAACTCTAAAAATTAAATGTGAAAGCTTTTATTAATTTAGCAAAACTAGTTTAGAAACTAGTCTATTATACTTTGAAAGGAATTATCAAGTGAAAATAATTTAGGCAGTGAAATAAGCACTGTTTTTGACAGAAATTATTTGTCTTGAGATTTCATTGATAGTCAAAAAATGTGATCTCCTTGTCTCTTAATTCTCCCTTTTTTTAACAAATTTTTAAAAAGATTTTATTTATTTATATTTAGAGAGGGAAGGGAGGGAGAAAGAGAGAAACATCAATGTGCGGTTGCTGGGGTCCGTGGCCTGCAACCCAGGTATGTGGCCTGACTGGGAATCAAACCTGTGACACTGGTTCGCAGCCTGTGCTCAATCTACTGAGCTACGCCAGCTAGGGCTTAATTCTCCCTTTTTTAAACCATTGCACCAATATGATAAGACTCTGTGAATCCCTTAAGCTTTTTCAGAATGCAGAGTTGGGCAAAAGTAGGTTTACAGTTATGAGTATTATTATTATTTATTGTATTATTTTCCATAGGGACAACTGTAAACCTACTTTTGCCCCACCCTGTATTGATGATGATGTAATGAGTAGCTTACCCAGGATGAGCTCTCGTGCATACTAATTACAGAAAGAAAATCACAGTTCTGTTACTGTTGCCGTGTTAGTTCATTTGACTCAGAAGGAAACTTTGTGGCTGGAAATTACAAGACATGAAATGGAGTAAAGGACAAAAAAGTATGTGGATCTTTGGTACACATGAGCATTTTCACAGTGTCACCTCGCATACCTTGTGCTGCCAAACTCAGGGACATTTGTGTGGTTTGGGTGAGGAGAGGGCCCAGCTGGGTGTGGGCCCCTGGGATGGCAGTCAGAAGGCTGGCTGGAGGAGTGGAGACCAGTGGGATCGAGTTACACTTGAAACCAGTGAAAGGTGAGGCTTTCAGTGACTTTTCCGTTTCTGGAGAGGAAAAGCTGGTCGTCTTCTGAATGTACAGACTCACAAGTTACATTGAGGTTCTAACACACAGAAAAATGCTGTGTGTGTCCTCCAAACTACTCTGACACCCACGGTGGGAAAACTTAAAATATCATTTGCTAAGAATTAATTTCCTGGGTTAATGGGTTCTACACATGTATTTTTGCAACCTTTCATATGCTAAATTTTATTAGTAGTTAGTGGAACACTCTTAAACTGTTTTGAATTTAGATTAAGACATGGAATGAAGTGAACAAATAACATTATAATCAGGAAGCCTCTTGGCTTCCTGAAGATCAGCTTCTTGCAAAACTTTGTCACGCGAACCTTCCGTGCCCTAAGGTGGTTTGTGCCTTGGTGTCCTGATCTTTCTCTGAGTCACACTTAAGCTTTCCTTTCAGAAGCACTAGTGAGCATAGCATGGGACAGATACGGTCAGGCACACATTCCTTTCACAGGTAGGTGAGTGAACATGTTTTGAAGGCAAAGCACGTTGGTACACTGGCCCGAAGCTAATGAAGCTTTAGGGGAGAGTGTGAGGCAGAACCCCAGCATGTTCTCTGATACAACAGTTTAATCTTCCCTCACACAGAGTCCACGGGAATGGGTCTGCTTTACTAGTACCTAGTTATGGGCAGGTAAAACACACTTCTGGAAGCAGTAATACCTGCAAGAATTCCCCATGCTGTCCATGGTTTGCATGAACTCATATATCAGAGCTATGTTTTTACTATGAAGAGTTTTTCTCTGGATTGATGTGCCATATTGCTGTCTTTCCTCATCTTCTTAAAGAACAGTTTTACACCATGTGGCAGCTTTGTGGGTTAACACAATGCTGAAATGATAGTCTATTTAGGTGTTATTTGTCTAGTGTACGAAGTGTTTGAAAATACTGTCCATTAGCTTTATAATAATAAAGGATAAATTTAAATACATACAAAGTTTGCTGGGATCTGTTCCTTTACTTACGCCCCCATACTTAACCTTTCACTCTTCTCATTTTGTCCCTCACATTTAACTCCCTGGAAGCTGGTACCTCACTGAGCAGAAAGAAGGGGAGGGAGAGGAGGGGCGGGAAAGAGAGAAGAAATGCACAAGGTCACCGTTTAGGGCTCCTTCAGAGGTCATGTCCTCTAGGAAGCATCCCCTGAGTTACCTCCTTGGCTCTCACCTCCACCAGATCAGGGCTGCTTTTCCCAGATGTGCTATGCCTCTCTCTCCAGGACATTTAATTACTACGTAGTGTTGTAAGGCTGTGTGTGGACTGTGCCCTTCGGCAGGTTGCAAACTTCCCAGGGGAACAACAGCCATCAGGCTTATTGATAACCGTATCCCTGGGTCTAGCTCAGAGTGCATCATGTGTATACGTCAATCTGCGTTATTTTTAATGATGATGCTTGTTATTGCTGTTTTGTTTTCAAAGATTCCCCAAAGTGAGCACAAAAGGAACCATGCTGAGAAACCAACCACTCTTCCAGTGCAAGAAGATGCCAGAAAGCCAAATGACCTTTCCAGTCCCACCTCAGATAGCAAGACTGGAGAAAGTGATCGGCAGCCAAAAGAAAGCTTTTTCCAGTTTCTTGGTAACTTATTCAGTATCTCTGGAAAATCATCCCTGGGTGAGGCCAAGCAATCTTCTATAAAAGAGGACCATGACAGAACTGAGAAAAGTTTGCCAAGTGCTGGGGACTGCCACGAGAAAGGGGTCAAGGAGGAGAGGGCGTCCCCCGGTGGCTCCCTGGGAACGCAGGCGCTTGCTGCGGACCAACCGGACTCTGCCTCGGATGGACAAGACTCCCCCATTGAACTCTCAGATGCCTTTTCTTTGGACACAACACAAGACAGCGATCAGGAAACCAGTGATTTTGTAAAGTAAGTTTAGAATTTACTTGAGCCAAAATTTGACCTTTTGGACCTAGCTTTTAATCTTTAGCTCTGTTCATCAAAGGGACTGGAAAAAGTATTCAGTAATGCTTCTGCTAGTAGATAAAAAAGATTATATGATTCTTTGTACCATACACGTAATCTAGGGCCTTTTGAGCTATTTTAGGGGGCGATACCAATACCTTTTAGGTGCTAGCTCTGTCATAGGACAGGGTTTATCTCTAATTTAAGACTTTCTTGAGTGCGGGTGTTTTCTGTGTCTGAATTGTTCCTGTATCAGGACAGGCAGTGTGTTCATTGTCTTCATCTGGGGAACAAATGTGGCCCTAAGGGTCGTATTCATGTTCTGTTGGGATCTTTTCTTTGTGGAATACAAGTATAGAGCTTAAGAAAAGAAATTAAATCCACTCTATCCATAAAACTAGCCTCATGAACTTTTCTACAACACTAAGAAACTGAAATCTTGCACAAATTTAGGGAGTACTGTGCCACGCCTGTGTTCTTTGCTTGATTAACAGTCACTGACTTGTTTTTCTTTTACTCAGATGAGCAAGAAGGAATATTTTCTTCTTTTATTTTTCAATTACAATTAGTATTCCATATTGTATTAGTTTCAAGTATAGAGCATAATGGTTAGATGTTTCTGTACCTTATGAAGTGATCACCCCAGTCAACCTAGTGCCCACAGAGCACCACACATAGTTATTACAATATTATTGACTGTACTCCTTATGCTGCACTTTACAACCCGTGACTGTTTTGAAACTGCCAATTTTTATTTCTTAATTCCTTCACCTCTTTCACCCAGCCCCTCTCTGATCTGGCAACCATCAGTTTAATCTCTGTATCTATGAATTTATTTCTTTTTTATTTATTTTGTTTTTTAAATCCCACATATACATGAGATCCTATGGTATGTGTCTTTTTCTGACTTATTTCACTTAGCATAATGCCCTCTAGGCTCTTCCATGTTGTTGCAAATGGTAAGATTTCATTCTCTTTTGTGGGAGAGTAATACTGCATTGTGTATCAGTACCACGTCTTCTTTATCCAGCATCTGTCAGTGGACACTTGGGTTGCTTCCATATCTTGACTGTTGTAAATAATGCTTCTATGAACATAGGGATGCATGTATCTTTTCAAATTAGTGTTTTGGATTTCTTCAGATAAATACCCAGAAATGGGATTGGTAGGTCATATAGTAGTTCTATTTTTAAATTTCTGAGGAACTTCCATACTGCTTTTCTTAGTGGCTGCATCAATTTGCAATAGAAGGATGTTTTCTACCCTCCAAAATGTGTATAACAACGTTGGGTCCGTTAGACATTTTGTGTAACAAAAATATTCATTCAAAACCAATAAGAATTTTTTTAAATTTTAATTTAACCTGTACCTGAGAATTGTTTTTATTATCTGAAGAGGTCGTCAATAACCCTATATAGTCAGATTTAGGTGAGAACTTAGGACCGTAGTTCTTCGTTGTTTCAAAGTGTCATGTGTGCACTTTTAGTTAGCTCCTCATAGCGAGCTTAGGAGGTGGGCGCCTACCCGGCCTACAGTTGTGAGGACTGGGATGTCCACGGAGATTTGTGTTTGCCTGTCAAGAGTGACTTGGTGGGGCTTGCCCTATCAGATGTTTGAATGTGCTAATAAGGCTACATTAATTGAGGCAACATCATACTGATGTAACATTTGCTACATTCAAATGTAAAAAGCTATTGTTCCAGGAGCTGGGATGTATAACTGGGCCCAGCAATAGACATACTTGTATATGTGTATTTTGTATATTTTTTATTTGAACTCTTGAATGGGATAGCATTACATATTCTTGTAGTAGAAAGGAAGACTTGGGGAAATTGGTCAACAAGGAGAAAAAATAAAAGCTAGATACTTCTCATTTTTAAAAAAAAAAATTCATCTGAGGATGTTTATTGTTGAGAGAGAGAAAGAGAAAGAGAGAGAGAGAGAGAGAGAGAGAAACATTGGTGTGAGAGAGAAACAACGATCAGTTATCTCCCATACACCCTGACTGGGGATCAAACCCACAAACTTTTTGGTGTACAGGACAATGCTCCAACCAGCTAAGACACCCAGCCAGGCCAATACTTATCTCGTTTTTTTAAGTGTATCTTATTGATTATGCTATTACAATATGTCCCATTTTTTTTCTCACCCTTATTCCCCTCTGCTCTGCACTGCCCCTCCCACCAGCATTTCCAACCCCCGCCCCATACACACACAGACACACCCCTTAGTTCATGTCCGTGGGTCGCATATATAAGTTCTTTGGCTTCTGCATTCCCTATACTATTCTTAACCTCCCCCTGTCTATTTTGTACCTACCATTTATGCTTCTTATTCCTTTTTCCCCCCACTCTCCTCCCCACTGATAACCCTCCATGTGATCTCCATTTCTTTGATTCTATTCCTGTTCTAGCTGTTTGTTTAGTTTGTTTTTGTTTAGGTTCAGTTGTTGGTAGTTGTGAATTTGTTGTCATTTTACTGTTCATAGTTTTTGATCTATTCCTTAGATAAGTCCCTTTAACAATTCATATAATAAGGGTTGGTGATGATGAACTCCTTTAACTTGACCTTATCTGGGAAGCACTTTATCTGCCCTTCCATTCTAAATGAAAGCTTTGCTGGATAGAGCAATCTTGGATGTAGGTCCTTGCCTTTCATGACTTGGAATATTTCTTTCTAGCCCCTTCTTGCCTGCAAGATTTCTTTTGAGGAATCAGCTGATAGTCATAGGAAATGCTTTGTAGGTAACTGCCGCCAGTAGGAAAAAAATGGTTAAAGCGGTTGTCTTGAGCAGCATTCTTCAGATGTGGCCCCGGGGCCAGTAGCATCGGCTTCCCTGGGAGTCACTGGAAATGCAGATTTTCTGCTTCAGACCCACTGACTCCTCACCTCTGAGGCGGGGCCCAGCAGTCTTCTAACAGCCTCTCCAGGTGATTTTGGTTCCAGAGGAATTCATAATGGTGAGGATTTTAAAGCTGTTATGTGGGAACTGGGTAGAATGGAAAGTTTGTGCTTTTTCTTTTTGGTTTTGATGAATACGTCATTAAACAACAACAAAAAACTTCCATGGGTGCAAGTCGTTTTAAAAGAAAGGTTTTATTAGGCCATTGCTGGCAAAAAAAAAAAAAAAAAAGAATACTGTTCTCAGCATGGAGTCTAGCCCACCAGGAGCATGGCCAGGCAGGAAATGAAACCAGAAAAGTCAGTGTTTGTGCTGCCTGTCCCAACCAGAACCACTGAGTAGAGACAGGGATTGAATCTGTTTGAGCACTTTATTCAGATGGCCGGTGATCTGAGAAAACAATGGGTCGTGTATCCCAGAAGACTGTCTTACATTTCATCTCTAGCTGACTTTTTTATCAGGAGAAGAAAAGTGTAGGTAAGGGGTTTGGAATTCAGGGAAAAGGTTAATCAGACAGGAGCTGCAGTCCAGCAGTTTTCCTTAGAACCTTTTCATCTCATGATTGGTGATTCTTTATCTGTGTCCTGGGCTGGGGACCTCTCTTCCTGCAGCACAGTGGCTCAGAGGCTCAGATACCATCTTGATTGCTTGCAGTCCCCCAGCACACAAAGGTCAAACTGCTTGTGGGTCTCCTGGAGTCAGGTGGGTCCAGCTATACACCCCAGTTCCTGAGACAATAGCTTTCTACATGCATTAATTAAGAAGCTTATTAACTATAACTTAAAGCTAAAGATTTTCCAGCTTTTGAGTTCCCCCAGCACTCCCCCACTGTTAATTTAAACTGTTTTATTTCTATGAGATCAGTTTCATGTGGAAGTAACCATTTTGCTGTTGAGCATGTATCTTAGCATTAGACAGTCTGGTAGGGGGTTTTGCAGATCCTTAATTGCAGATCCACATAAGAAGGCACATTGTATGCAACAACAAGCTATGCTACTGAAAAAGATGAGAGGAATAGAAACAACAAATGCCTCTAAGACCAGTAATACTAGGCAGCCAGGAGGTTAATTCAGACAAATCAATACCAAAGAATCCCTCTTTTTTTTGTTTTTTTATTGGACACCACGTCAATTACTTGCTTTACCTTATGCTTTGTGAGCTGTGACTTATCAGTCAGGTTGAAACAGCCAAGTCCTTTAAATTCTTCACATCCATGATTATGTCCTGAAAGGAAGTGGTCGGTAGCCACACAGTTCTCTAATGCTGCTTCTGGGACTTGTCCTGGTGCCTGACAGATGGCACCAATGGCTTGAGTGGCAGCATTCAAAGCTTTTGTCATAGCGCAGGCCAATCTACTTATTTCTATATTCAAAGAGGTTACCATGACTAGCATTATAAATATAGACAAAGATATATAATATATTCAGTGGGGCTAAAAAGGTGTGAATCTCTGTTGCAGCCAGGTGCGAGGGAGAATTTCCATCCATCCCAGGTGGGGTGGGGCCTGTGAGCCGTAAACACCGTCAGTCCTCCCAGACAGCACGGTCCCCCTGGAACTGTTCGCTGGGACATAGGAACAGACAGTCCTTCCACATGTTAGAAACCACCCTGCTGGCAATTTGATGTGACCAAAGGCACACAATACATTACTGGTGGTGTTGCAGTTCATCTTCACACCTGCTGAAAGCACAAAAACAGTTTTTAGTGCATTTGAGAAAAGTTGCCCACTCCCTAGCTAGGGCTACATTAATGACTTTTAAGGAAAACATTTCCCTGTCCTTTGGAGTTACCACAGGTCCCCACTTAAAAAATAACAAGAGTAGATTCTGTTCTTATTGATATGCTGAAACACAGTATAATTTCAAAGGCTTTCCAGGGGAGTACAAACACCCCCCTACACATGAAGTGAAAATCTGTTCAACATAGGTTCCTCCTGCAAGAAAAAGTCAGAGATGTTTAGAAAATTTTTTTTCTAATTATACCCAAATATTTTCATCTTGTTTGAAAGGAATAAGTTCTCCACAACGTGGGGTTAAATGAAAAGAATATAAGTCATTGTTTT